GATCAAAATGACTGTTACTTTATTAGGGTTACAAAGGAACCAAAGGAGTGAGAGGAAGAGGAGGAGACACCGGCCCTGAGGTGAGTGACAGGAAACACTCGTTAAACTTGAGCTTCCTGTTCAGAATACCAGGACTTTTCTTGTTCACCTTACTAGCCTTACTTGCCTTCTGTTTAGGGCAGCTCTGGGCCTGATGGAGAGGACGGTGCATCTGGTTTCTCTGGTGCAATTGTGAGTCAAGAATTTAGGAAAACTTTACTATTACCTATATGATTTTGTGTTTAATAGCTAATTCCCAGAAAAGTCTTATATGGGGTTTTCTTACTCTTCTTTATAGGGCCTTCCCGGGTTACCAGGGGACCCTGGAGAAACTGGCCAACCTGGATTAAAGGTAATGGTCTCATCAAAAAAATTGGAAAAGTGTGGATCTTGGTTTACTAGCAGAGCTATATGGTGTTATTTTATGTGTATAAAGATTATCCAGAATTATGTTCAATGATATTTAACATTAGACATTATGGCTTGCATTCATAATTGTGATTGAAACAAAATGTATTTGTGTCATGCAGGGTGATTTCGGAATAGAAGGCCCGCATGGAGGAGTGGGTCTCCCTGGAAAGACTGTGAGCAAAATAGCATCTTCACTTACACATATCACCAGCAGCGTTTCCTCTCCACATTACTTTGAATGTTTTTCATTCCTGTTTCAATCACGATCACATACAGTAGCTGAGATGTTCTAGATCCCATCTGAGAATTCAAAGTCATGCAGTCATGCTCCAACTCCTCTAATTATCATATAATAGATTCCTGACAACATTTCTGATTTGTCACTGAAATTAATCTAAGATAATATTTTTCTGACTGACTACAGGGTCCTGTTGGCCCAAAAGGTAAACCTGGAAAACCAGGCGTTAAAGGTATTAAGGTAAGTTGCTTTACTCAAATGTTTACAATTGTTGTGTGGTGTACTTGCTGAAATGTAATGACCAGAAGTTTAAAGTTTTAAGGTTTTAATACTTAATTTATTTTGATACTGATTTCAGCTACCAATAAGAGTGAAGATATCAACATTGTGCCCTTGAGCAAGACGCTTAACCCAGTGTTTGCCTTCAAGGGGACTGTCCCTTCAATAAGCTTCTGCAAAATAACTATTAAATAAACACTTATTTTTATATGACATTCACTGAAAAAAAAGATATAAAATATCTGCATAAATATCTGTGTTTTAATGTCAAATACTTCCCCATTCTGATTAAGTGTCAGTGTCACGAGTTTCATTTCCCATTGGCATGTGTCAGGGAGTTTTTATGTTTGTTTTATTTTGTCTGGTTTTTTTGTAATTAATATATCATCTGTGGAACTATGTGGGTTGTGGTAGTTGATATGACCTTTCAAGTGGAGACAGCAGTGACCTGCAGTCTGATTATGCATGTGTTTTTATGAACTGTGATTATTTGCTATCATTAATTGTGTCACACTGCAGGACTATTTAAGTGAAGTGACATGTGACATGTGGCCAAGTATGGTGACCCATACTCGGAATTAGTGCTCTGCATTTACCCATCCAAAGTGCACACACACAGCAGTGAACACACACAAACCGTGAACACACACCCGGAGCAGTGGGCAGCCATTTATGCTGCGACGCCCGGGGAGCAGTGCCTTGCTCAAGGGTCGTGGTATTGAAGGTGGGAGAGAGTGCTGTACATTCACTCCCCCCCGCCTACAATCCCTGCCGGTACGAGACTCGAACCCACAACCTTTGGGTTATGAGTCCGACTCTCTAACCATTAGGCCATGACTTCCCCAGTCATTTAAAGGGATAGTTCACCCAAAAATTAAATTCTGTCATAATTTACAAACCCTCAAGATTGTCTGCTGAACACAATCTTTAAGAAGATATTTTGAAGAATGTGGGTAACTGAACACTCCTTTGACTTCCATAATATGGAAAAAATAATAATGTAAGTCAGTTTGGTTTGGTAGAAGAAAGAAATTCATATAGGTTTGCAACAACTTGAGGGTGCATAAATAATGACAGAGTGTAATGACAGAAGTGAATTGCAAACAAGCTGAAAACCCCACACCAGTTACAGCATTTTCAGTAAAACATAAAAAAAAAATAATCCTAAATATTTAGGTTTAATGGAGAAGTCCATCTTAATTGTCAGCTTCTCATGTAAATTATCATGTTATTAACATTTCTAGTTGAGTCTTGATTTGTCCTTGAATTTTTAATTTAAAAAGTACTGAGAAATCTCCCCATCTCTCAAAAGGGCTTCACTGGCAAAACAGGAGAACAAGGTCCTGAGGGACGACAGGGACAGAAGGTTGGCACCAAGACTTACAGGCATAGCTAATTATTAGTTTGACAAACTTTATTACATCTACTGCTGTTGACGTTTTCTCTTTGCATAATCAGGGTCAGACATGAGCACCTGGATTCCCAGGAGACCATGGAGAGCAGGGTTACTTGGTGATAAATCACTCAGAAGCTTTCTATTTCTCTTTCTCATATTGTACCATCAGGAAAATCCCTGTAATAATCTCACTATAATACTATATTTTTACTATATTTCTTCTGGGTTATCCAGAAGTTCCAGGAGACCATGGGGGTGATGGGACCAAAGGTCTGTTCTCATAAAATCACTTATTGTTGTTATCAGTAACTAAAATTGAGAGATTGGCACAGTGGATCCCCTTTCCTCATAATGTTCTATACAAACACATAATAATTTACATATTTCCAACTAAAAGCTTTGCCTTGAATCAGCACTTGGTGACTAACTGGTGACTAAGTTTTGGTAGGCAAATTTCTCTTTCCATTTGCCATCATCTTCAGGGTGCTAAAGGTACAGGTGGCTTGCCAGGGAGTGATGGAGAGTCGGGAGAGGATGTGAGTAGCAAGATGTTTTTGATGAATGTGTTATTATTCAGGAAAAAAGACTTCCTGAAGTACTATGTTTCTGGGGGGGGGGGGGGGGGGTTTATATATTTTTTAGGGTCCTCTGGGTGTTCCAGGAGTTGTAGGGGTGCCTGGGCCTTTTGGACCTAAGGTAAGAGAAAATACAAGAAAATTCAATTTCAGCCTTTCTACTTCAAAATGTCATGTTTAATTCAGTGTGTTACTTACAAATTGTTTTATAATTATTTGTGAATTTACTATCTATTTCCAAGTGAAAACTGTTTCAAATGAATTGTTTTTTCAACATTTGCAAAAAGTTTTCCCTCTTTCTCTCTTCCTCTTTTTTGCAGGGTTTGAAAGGTGATCGTGGTGTGAGGGGGCGACCTGGAAGAGTAGGAACTGTGGTAAGCTATGAATTTGGCCCTTTAGGGGGATATTATACTTCCCTATTATTCCAATGTGCGTGACACACTTGTGATACAATGTGAAGCCAAACAACGTTGATCAGTTGACTGACGTGTGACTTCTTTTTTTAGATCAACAAAAGCCATATTATTACTCTTTGGCGAGGCACCACATTATTTGTTAGGTTGGAAATCACCAGAAATCTATCTACACAGCAAAATCCCCAGAGATAAATCAACTCTGCTCAGAGTACATATTGTCCCAATCTACAGAGTGTTAAAGTAACACTGAAGCCGAGTTAAAGTTAATGGGATAATTAAGCGATTGATTAAGTAATGATTGAGCATTAGTAAAGAAAACCCGCTGTTAACAATGTTGAAGATGAACAACTACTGCTCATGCTTTTAGACATAAACTTACCACACAATCCTCAACAGTGGTAACTCTGCTTCAGTGTTACTTTAACTCAGTGTTACTTTAACTAACTGTAGATTAGGACAATATGTACACTGAGCAGAGTTGATTTAACTCTGGGGATTTTGCTGTGTAAGAGTTCTAATTGTGTTTTTTAATATTATTCCAGAGGGGAATGTCCCTAAATGTTGGGGATTTACCAGACTGTAACAGACCCAAGACTGAAAGTGAAACTACAACTTCTATTTTTAGCTACGGCGGTTTCACTGCACTCAACATATTTCCTGAAACCGTGTGTAGATGTTTACTTCTCAGATTAACCAGGTTTTCCCTTAATTTTTCCTCCTAAATAAAATGAGACTGTACTATACTATGCATTGCATAGTATAAACATAGCATAAACAGGTAGTTTAGTCTAAACTATAAAAGGCGATATAAAAGATTACTCATTTACATGTGACAAACACATAAATACTTAAAGCGGAACTGTAAACATTGTTTAATACTGTAAGATTTCCAATATCAAGAACATCTACTTAGACATTTTTCTTCTCCCTATTAACAAGTGCAACAGGTTTGAGGTTTTACTTTTTTCATAGGGTCCACAAGGAGACAGTGGGGATGCAGGAGCTCCAGGGAAACCTGGACCAAAAGGCTTGGCTGGGCCAGCAGTACGCAACTGAATAATTAATCAATTAATTTATCAAATGCTCTGTTTCACTTTTTTTTTTTTTTAATTGAAGTAATTAAATGCTTAGTTTCACTGTTTGTTGATTTTCAAGTCTAACTGATGACAAGATTAAAATGACATATAGAACAGCGATTATTTTATTTATTTATTTGTTTTTAATCCAAAATGATTATCAAATGTTCTGCTTTACAGGGTGCCAAAGGGGAAACAGGACCAGATGGTGAAAAGGTAATATCAAAAGCATATAATATCAGTATAATATCCACAAAACTGACATTACTTTTTTAAAATAACACACTGCATTTTATTTAGGGTAAAGCAGGAAAGGCAGGCGCTAAAGGAGAAAGAGGCCCTCAAGGCATGAAAGGTGTAGAGGGCCAGAAGGGAGCTCCAGGGGACAGAGATACTGCACTGGCGTTACTCTTAAGTGTTTTAACTAAAAGGGATAGTCCAGCCAAAAATGAAAATTTAGTCATCACTTCCCCTGATGTCATTCCAAACCTGCATGACTTTCTTTCTTCTGTGAAACACACAAAAAATATATTTTGAAGAATATGTTGGTATTTATTGTGAGCAGATATTGCAGCTGTGTCAAGGTGTGGTCACCGCTCAGATCTCCCAGTATGCTTCATCTATACGTGCCAAATGCGTATAGGGCTGTCCAATCAACAACTGTACCCTCATCGGACCCCCAGGAGTCAGAGGATCTCCTGGAAGTCCAGGAAAACCGGTGAGCTGATATATGAAGTTGTCACAAAACTGACATTACTTTTTTAAAATAACACACTGCATTTTATTTAGGGTAAAGCAGGAAAGGCAGGCGCTAAAGGAGAGGAGAGGCCCTCAAGGCATGAAAGGTGTAGAGGGCCAGAAGGGAGCTCCAGGGGACAGAGATACTGCACTGGCGTTACTCTTAAGTGTTTTAACTAAAAGGGATAGTCCAGCCAAAACTGAAAATTTAGTCATCACTTCCCCTGATGTCATTCCAAACCTGCATGACTTTCTTTCTTCTGTGAAACACACAAAAAATATATTTTGAAGAATATGTTGGTATTTATTGTCCATACTATGGAAGTCAGTGGGACCCAAAACTGTTTGGTTACCATCATTTTTCAAAATATATTCTTTTGTGTTCCACTGAAGAAAGTCATATAGTTTTGAAATGACATGTGTAAGTAAATGGCAGAATTTTCATTTGTAGGTGGACTATCCCTTTAACAAAAAAAGAAAAACAAAGAGTTTATGCATACAAATGAGCTCTCTGTGTGTTTTTCTAAAGGTGCTAAAGGTCTAAAAGGACAGAGAGGTGAACCTGTAATAGGTCTACCAGGACATGATGGTCACCAAGATCTCAGAGGTGGGATAATTTTATGTCTGCTATTTCAATAACTGTGGATTAGATGTAGTTAACTCTGGCTTGTTTCTCCAAAAAGGACTGCCAAGCCATCCAGCAGAGCCAAAAGATGGAATTGATGGGCTGCGAGGACCCTGTGGGTTTCCCAGGCCTGTGGATCAACCTGGCATGGTCGGCGATGCAGGAATACCTGGCATGTGCGAGGCACGAGACTGCAGCATTCATGCGCCTGTAGTGCGCAAAGAGATGGGATTGGTTAAAGGCCCTCTCAGCTAGGCCTGACAACAGGGACGAATGTGAGTGACCCGGGACAGGAGATAATCTCCAGCAGAGGCCATGAAAATAGAAGACATCACATACAGACAGACTGGAGCCAAGAACTGGAGATCAAGTCTCTTCAGATTTGTTTACCAATTTGAAGTCCAAAACTGAAACTATACAAATGAAAACTATACCAGCACTTTTGGTTTCATTCATCGGCAATGTTTTGGTTTCATTATAAATACAGTACAGACATGTAAATCATTTTGTAAAGCATCTTAAATATACATATGTGTTCTGAAATATCAAGCTTTATTTTGATTCATCAGGCTGAATTAAAGATAAATTTTTTTGTAAACGTTTACTGTGTTTGATGAATATAGTGTAACCACAAAAAATTATTATCATTCAGGCCATCATACCTTTTAGAATAACTGTAAAATCCATTTAGAAAAATATTTTTCCTTATTGTTTTTATATACACACATACGTATACATATATAAGGACAACATTTATTTGTGACGGAAAAATTATTCATGTCAATAAACATGTAATCATTTATAGTGTACAAGAAAAAGAACCGTTTAAAAGTAGTATTGGTACATATTTCTTGGCAGTGTGTTTGAGGTGATTCTTATGACCTTGTTTAATGCAGAGACCCCAAAGAGTATTTTAACACTTAGCCACAAATAAAATTATTTAAATTTATTTTCAGTATATATCAAAACAAGTGGATTTTATTTTAAAGAAATATAGCACAAGCACAATTTCAAAATACAAATAATACTTTAATTTGAATATATTTATATAGGCTATATGTATCAGGCCATAGACCCTACAGTTAAAGACTCTACAAAATCACTAAAACGTACATTCATCAGAGGTAGATATGAAGCTTAGAAAATTAAAAAACATTTACATTAATACAGTACTATACTTTAAGACATTAGCAGAGACACCGCCCTGAGTACACAATCCGCCATGTTTATCTTAACGCTAGAGCATTTCAAATCAGCATTCATGTGTTTGCTTCCACTCAAAATAGGCATTTTCATGATATAATACATGATATGTGGGGTATTTTGAGCTGAAACTTCACAGACACATTCTGGGGACACCTGAGACTTATATTACATCTTGTAAAAAGGGGCTTAATATGTGCCCTTTAAATAGACTCTGCTGAACACTCTTCTTTATCCCATATCACACTGAGTGGCTATTGCTTCTGTTGTTTTTGTATGTATATCTAACACACAGCAGACACACTGCAATGGCTATGAGCACCAAGGTAACAGGCAGGAAAATACCTAAAAAAATAAAAAAAAAATTCCTCAAATATTTCGGTACTTAACAGTATAATATATTTCTCTCACACACACACACATGCAGTGTTTTAATATGTGCCCTTTAAATAGACTCTGCTGAACACTCTTCTTTATCCCATATCACACTGAGTGGCTATTGCTTCTGTTGTTTTTGTATGTATATCTAACACACAGCAGACACACTGCAATGGCTATGAGCACCAAGGTAACAGGCAGGAAAATACCTAAAAAAATAAAAAAAAAATTCCTCAAATATTTCGGTACTTAACAGTATAATATATTTCTCTCACACACACACACATGCAGTGTTTGTTTTGTATTACCAATGTGACCTCTGTTCACAGGGTTGATCAGAGATTGAGGGACTCTTTCGCCTAAAACGAAAGAAAGAAAATATATTAGCACTGGCTACCCAACAATAAACAATATATCACTGGTAGCAAATAAACTTACCATAAAAATGTACACGGTATTCAGTCAAATAATCCTTTAAAATAGATACAAATGTTGGTTAATGTTCAATTCGATGCTCATAAAAGTCATAAAAGACATGACCTGTGGTGCATGAGAAAACGACTCACTCTTGTGCATATTACAGCCAGGGTGATATTGACACAGTCAGTCAGAACGATTCTCCCAACGAACAACTCTTTGCATGGATTATGACACTCTGGGATGAATTTAAGAAATGTTGCAATAGACTGAAGGATGAAAAAAGCATGAAAGTCAGTGAGCTGCAGCATATAGATCATTGAACTTCAATTCTTCAATCTACTCACATGGTCCTGAGCAGACCAATATTGATCACAGTCTGGGTTCTTCATTGCATATTCAGACTCTACATGGTGCAGCTCTTCCGTACAAGTGTAGTTTTGTGTCGTCTCTGTGACTGTAGTGAACACTGAGGGACGAGAGGCATAAAATGATTCAATCCCTTCATCTAGAATAATTTGTCATTACCGTATATTCTGAAAGGGAATCATATAGCTGCAACACATGAGAAATGTCATGAGCTTTTTTTTATGCTTATACCTTCTCTGCGTGTCAAAGTAAACAATAGAAGCTTATCCAGGTGTGTGTCTATGCGTATACTTCTTTTGACTATACTTGTGAGGACCAAATGTCTTCACTTATATTGTGAAATACTTTGACAACCCCCACTAGTCAGGACATTTTACTGGTCCTCACTAGTTTAAAAAGTCGTATAAATCATAAATATGTTTTTT